TTGTTATTGTTATTGTTATTGTTATTGTTATTGTTTGTAATATCAGAAAAGGGGGGAGATTTTCTTTCTTCTTCCTCTGTGGTGATACTACTGGAGAGGTTTGTTGGTTGCAATGGTGGGGCACCAACATACTCATAGGGCAGTGCAATTGACAAGCCCAAAAAGGTTCTCTGGCAAGAAACATATACAATGTTCACATGTATTGAAAGGCAAGAGAAAACCCTTTCCAGCCAACAGATTCTCTAATTCTGATTGGTGCTCTGCTAAGATTAACAAGCAAGCAAAGCTTTAGCTGATTACTAAAGATGGCTTCAAAATTTTGACTTGTAACCTGTTATAAATCAGACGCTATATATCACACCAAAACCTTGTACTTGTAGTGGTTTCAATGGTGTTTGAAGACTGCTGTGTTGACAATGATCACCTCCAAAAGAAGTTAAAATGCCCCTATTGTTGCGCCTCCTTCTCTTCTTACTATTCCATACTGACTGGTATCTGCTGCTACTACTGCTACTACTACTAGTAGTAGTAATACCTGGTGTTGATGAATAGAATACCAGTAGTAACATACCACAAAGTCCTTGTTATTCATCCTTCTGCAACATCAGGTGCATGGCACTGCAGCAGGATCTGCTTGATAAATGCTAGGTATTCCTCTTGTACTACTGTTGGTACTAGTACTACCACTACCACTTGTTATAGTAATGCAATGCTTGATAACTACAAAAAAGAACAAGAAAACTCCAATTAAATTTATAGTACTACTACTACATAGGAGGAATTCTAAAAACAACAACTAGTAAAATTATTTTAAAAGTTCACCTATCCTATATGATCATGATGCAAGAAGAGCTACTACTATCACTAGTACACCTAGTACTACTACTACTAGCTAATTGGATCAATCATCAAAAATTACATTTTATCAGCTCCTCCTCTTACCCTACTTTTTTGAAGAAACCAAGAAACTAGTATTTGCATGCTCCAGTGACAGCTCCAGTGCTGGTGCAATGGATACGTACGTACTGTATCTGAAGTATACGTACGATACGAAGCTTCGAAGAAAGGAATGAAGGAGCATACCATTCCTA